TATATATATATATATATATATATCCAATAAATAGATGTGTATATCCTCTTTCTTCCTGCTGTCTTATATAATAAGAAAAAGAAAAAAGAGGAAAACAAAAAGGAGGGGGAGGGAAGGAGGAAAAACGGGGGAATGGGGCTGTGTCGGTATCTTGCATGCATGCATGCATGCATGCAGCTACATACATGCGTGCATGCAGCTACATACATAGATACATGCATACATGCATGCATGCATGCATATATAGATATAAATCATTGATCTTTTTTATTGTTTTCTTGTTTTTTTTTTTCTTCTTCTTCTTGTTCGTCATCATCTCCATCATCTTCATCCTCACTGCGGACATCTTCGCAGTCTTCTCGTGATCCATCTGCATGCAAATAAATAAATAAATAAATAAATAAATAAATAAATAAAATAAATATAAATAAACCCTAAACCCTAAACCCTAAACCCTTGTATAGAAGAAGACTTACTGCGAACGGCAGTAACAAGTCCGATGACCATCTTGATGATACACCAAAACCAATAAATGTGTAAAATCTGAAAAAAAAAAAAAACCCTAAACCCTAAACCCTAAACCCTAAACCCTCAAAAACCCTAAACCCTAAACCCTAAACCCTAAACCCTTTAAAAAAAAAAAAATAAAAAAAAAAAATAAACATACCTGTAATACAACAAGGAATGCAGGTAATGCTGTACCGCCAGGTATTCTCCATCTGGTCTCAACAAAGTCTTGTGTTAATGCCCTAATAAGAGTAGTATTAAGACTAGGTCTTACGCAATAAAAAGGAAATATAATTAATCTAGTCATAAAATATACAACAACAAATGCACCAAAAGATACCTCTACTACTCCTGATCTAACACGACTATAATGTAAACTTTTAGATAAATATAAAAGCATATCTGCTGCATCATGTAATAATAATACAACCTGCATGCATACACACAAAAAAAAAAAAAAAAAAAAAAAAAATTTATTTTTTTATATTTAATCATTATTCATGTATGCGTCTCTATTTCATATTTATTTATCTGTATTTATTATTCCCCTTTTTTATCCCTTTATATTTATTTTTATTTTTTTCTTCTTTTTTTTTTTCTTGTACTTACCACGCCAACTTTCCAATAAGAGCAGAAATAAGAAAATAAGACTAACATAATAGTAACAACATGATGAAGAAAAAGAATAGAATAATCTTTTCTAATTGTTTCTAGATTAATAAATGCCAAACAACTTAGCCAAAATGCTAATTGAAATAAATAATAATTCCTCATTGTTATTGCAGGAAGGAGAAGAGGCCAACCTCCTGATCCTCGTGCTACTTCCTCAGGAGCTGCCATCCAATACCTATACAATAAATAAACAAATAAATAAATATATAAATAAATAAATAAATAAATATAAATGTATATATATAAGAAAGAAACAAAAAGAAGTCATGATGGTATATATATAATTGTATACTGTAATGTATATAAATGGTAAGCTAAATATTCAGGTGTATACACAGCTATAAATGTAAAAGAAAGAAAAAGAAGTACTATATAATTATATATACAGTAATAATATATAAATATTAATCTAATTCTTATAGAGGTATATATACAAATACCTTATATTGTCCAGTATACGTACCATCTACCATCAGGACGCTGCAAATGTAATTGTGGCCAACCTGGTACTTCTTCAGTACCATATTCTGAATATAATACATAACAGCCCCAAAAGAAAGCAGTACCATGCCATAGGGTGTACCTGCAAGCAACAAGAAAGGAAAAAAAAAGAAAAAAAAAAAAGGAAATAATACATCATCATAATGGTATATAGTATAGTGTAGATATATAGACAATTCCTTTAATATATGTACATACATATACTATATTGCTATTAATTAATTAATTAATTCGTGCATGCATGCATGCATGAATTAATTAATTAATTAATTAATTAATCAATTCATGCATGCATGCATGCTTGCATGCAAACTTACCAAACATTTTCTCCGAATTTATGCAACTTTCCTGGACGAACACATCGTGACGATTTTGCCAATTTCTTTGAAATACACGGCAGACGTCTAAGAGCTCCGCTGCTTCCTCCGCTAATAATAAGTCTTAATAGACTAACAGCAATTAATGCCTGCATTAATATAGTGCATGCAATACACACAAAAGGAATTAATTTCTTATTAATATAATATAAAGATGGGAGGAGGGAAAAAAAGACAAAAAAAAACCGTAAAAAAAAGAGCTGCATCCTTTGAATTTCAAGAGTAACTAATAAGTTCTTCTGCATGCATAGTGCATAGGATGTTATTTTTGTGTCTATTTATTAAATAATGAGTAGATTTCTTAATAAACCCTTAATATATTTATATTATATATCTTATTTTTTATATTTATTAAGAATTATAATTTATGGCTGCACCTTACCACCAAGACGTATATTGCATCATCATAGGACACCGATGGATTCAACAAATACACCTTCCAAAAAGGTCCTCTTTCTGATTCAACTAAATAAGAAAGAGTGTGGTAGACCAGCTCTCCATCTTCCATACGGAAAGATTGAAGTTTTCTGGCTATTAATTGTCGCGCCGCCTCCAACTTCATTGTGGTGGCGGCATGCAAGGGTTGCCAAGACGCCACTAGGCACCCTGCAAATGCAGGTTTCAGCTAATATATTACCTAATAAACGTCTTCTCTCCCTAAAAAAAAAGAAACAATATATATAAAGAGGAAGAAACGCAACGCAACAAAGACGTTTACTAAGTGGTCGGTAGCTCAGTGACGCTACATTTCAGGGAAATCGAGATTTGCATGTCCCTCCCTCAACTCCTAAAGAAAAAAGGAACATTCAAAAATCAAAAAAAAACGTAAAAACAATAAAAGGAGAGGTCTGTAGAATGAATGACTCGCGAGTGAGTTCCAGTGGGCTCACCCACCTATGTGCCTCCTTGCGCCGTGGCGTACTGCACAACCTCATATTATAATATGTCAGCGCTTAACTTTGTGTCATTACCTTCAAGACATATATATTTCATTAAACAATCACAATTCATGCAATTAATACAAATGTCTACATTGCGCAACATTAACTTTTATTCAAGGGCTCAACTAGTGGAGGCACAGTGCAACACATAGTCTGCACGCGTTTACAAGATGAACACTCACACTCCAGTAGTAGGCAACCTACCCCCAAGTAAACAACTTTCATAATAATAAAAGCCTTGAACAATTCTCTACAGTCCTTGGGAATTCAGCAAAGAGCAGTTGGTTTTGTTTTCATGTGGGGCTGTTGACTTGCCTTGCTGCAGCTCTCATGTGAACACTAAATCGGCCTTAGAAGGCTGCCTACACATAAAAAAGAAGCCTGCACACAAGCTTAAATCGACAACCATTCCCAACTGTGCTAATTAATGCAGCGAAGAATGCCTTATTGTACTTGCATGTGAGGTTGTGTGCTTGGTGCATTGCCTGCAGCAAGGTGAGTTGCAATAATTGAAATGCTGCCACTTCTCTCACAGCCCTTGGCGTGTAATTTACCAAGCTCGGGGTAATCGGGACCTGGGGAAGGGGGGTCATCTGCTGTTACGGAATTCTAACCATCACTATGCGGATTCTAGTTCAGCGCAAAGTAATCGCTGCATACGCTTAGGGAGTCTCGTTACACTCAGTAGTTTCAGAGAGGACGTATTGAATGGCGCACCTGTTAATTCCACAGTAGCGAAGCTCTCATAAGTCGGTATTGCAGACGCATGAAGGATGCTTGGAAGTTATAACATTAAAGCTTTAAAGAGTATCTCCAGGCAAGCAAACAAAGCAGTCAGAGAAACGCCGGGGCCGCATGCAAAGTGTGATGCAGTGGTGCACGACTAACACAACTATTCACTCATGACGCCTGCACGCGCCACTGCCTCCAGAAAAGCATCATTGCTGATTGGGACGCCAAGTGCTCTACGGCGCATTCACCATGCTGCTCAGTATTAGCGGATTACTTGGAATAACTTACAGGCAAACGGTCAAACTGAAAGGTGCAGCTACACACTTCTACAGCATTAGCCACTCTGTACCCATTAAAGTTGATCAAAGTGATTTCATTTCGGTCCTTGTGGGGTATACGTGTATCATACAGCAGCACATCCTTCATCATGATGTTTTCCCACTTCCTTAGTTTGCGCCTAAACACGGTATTCTTGTCTTCATCCAGCAGTAAACTCAGTGCCATCAGCTGTGCTATGCATGGAGAGAACCCTACTCACATTCCAGCAAAATGGAATATGCAGGGAAGCCAATTTCGATTTCACTAATTCAGCATTCCACAGCAGCAGATTATGAGGTGTATGAAGTTATAAATTCACCAGAAAAGGTAGCGCAGCAGCAAGAGAGGCGCAGCAGTGAGACATGGACACAGGAACCGATAGTAGCCCAGAAACATCACTCTCTTCAGCAGCGTCAAGCGCTGGAGAAGCCCTATCCTGAATCAGCTCGCCACTTGCTGAGTAACAATGGAGCTGAGTGCCTGTGCATCTGGGTAGGAAGAGATATAGCATGCTCTATCCGAAGTTGGGCCATGCTTCTAATGGCGGGCTGATTGGCTCCTGAGGGCCAGGTCCACATGCATAAAGGGAGGCATTTGATACGCTTAGATCAACTGGTGCTTTTGTAATCTGTGCAACAAAAATAGCTGCAAGGTGCGCTGCAGGTTGTCCGCTGCCATATATTGGCCACAACAACGTACAATAGTTTGATTACTTCAGGCCCGTGGGAGTTCGTGCTCACTACGCCTGGAGAAAGGGTGTACCAGCGGCCTTTTTGAAGAAATGTAATTTCCACTCCAACTGTAGCCCAGCTCATGTGATGCCTCTGCTGAGATCCTGAAACCCCTTTAAACCCGTCGACCAAGTAAGGACAGGAACAGGGTCCGCGCGTCTCTAATTCCTACGTTCCAGCAGCCGACTGTATTTTTACTATCTCCAGCGTATGAACAACTAGTTTGCAGCACCTCCCTCCAAAGTCTCCCACATGGCCAATAAAAAGCAATTGCTCGAACTACGATCGCTCGGTTGGCGGTCGTCGCTCGGTGTACAGCTGTCACACTACGCTGGAAATGCCCCTATTAAGCGGCCTGCATGCTCGCCAACTCCTCAACAACCGTCCACCAAGTGTGTGCATTCAGAACAGAAGGTTCGGGTGTGATTGGAATTGGCTCTACCTTCCACCTTCAGTTGCACCAAGGCGCAGTGCAGCATATGTCAGGATGTCGTGTTACCTTCATGTTTAGGCGCTTGGGCAGGTGTGCCCAGGAAGCCTGTAGCCCCTGGGGGGGGACCACAAGGTGTTCTGTAGGACTCTCATTTTAACTATTTTAACTGAAACGCAACTCCCGGCAACGCTTGTATAAGATCGAGGACTCATTACACTCGAAGTCACAGGAGCCCCCACAACTCAGAACCGAATACCTCAAATCTTGTGTCTTGTGGTAAAGCTCTAGCCAACAGCTGGATTTTACATGTGCAATTAGAGTGAAGTGTAAGAAAACTGTGCCGGATGTAAATACACACGGAGCTTGCGTGTTGCCAGAGGGGGGCCGTGGGGGGTCCCTGGGGGGAGCCGAGCCAACGTGGAGAGAGGATTTATTGGCAATAAGGGCTTTAAGTTTCATGTTTGTGGGATGATTAATTCATCTACAAGAAGAAGGTGGTGTTTGTGTGGCTGAGTTTTCTGCTTTGCGCAGACCGCCAGCGCGGGAGCAGCAGCGGCAGCAGCGGCAGCCGCTGTAGTGGCTTCTGCATCCGTAGCAGCGGCGGCAAACGCAACAGAGATCAACAACGCAGAACAGCACTATGTGTCTCTCTACGCTTTTTTCTGCCTTGCAAGTTCCCACGCTTGAGGGACATGTTCCCTTCTTAACCCTGTACCATAAAGCCTAGACCCTCGCGCGGCGTCTGCAGCCCTGCTCCAGCTCTTCTCTGCATTAGAGTATTTCTGGTTGCCCTGATTCCGTCTATGTTCCATATATATTTCCACTATTGTGCTGCTGTTCCGTGGTTGGAGAGCAGCAACTGCGGCAAAATTCGGTGTCTGTACACCTGAATTGCATGTACTGCACCGGCTGCAGCGAGGCATTTGCTTTTTCTGCGACGACAACTGCTGCCTCCTGTGCAGTAGGCATAACATTTAGGGCCAAGAGTGTTGCATCATTTGCGGCAGCCTTTCATTCTTCTCCATCGACTCCTGCTGCAGGTCGCAGCAGTAGCATCGGCAGCATCAGCATCATCAGCAGCAACAACAGCAGCTCAAGCAACAGCAGCAACGGGGTTAACGGCTTATATCTTAGGTTGTATTCTCTACCTCTTTGGTGGCTATCTTACTAGCGTGTTCTTCGTGGGGTCTGTACACCCACAGGCTCTGTGTCTGCCGCCCTCTCTATTAGTAAGGGTCCGTGTGCGCTGGCTTGCATGCATGCGTGTGTGTCTCTTTGCTTGCTCTTTCTTTAAGAGGTGTCTCTTTGCTTGCTCTTTCTTTAAGAGGTTTTTTGGGTGACTATTGTAGTTTCCTTCCTGTTGCGACAGCAGCAGCAGCGGCAACTGCAGCAGCAGCAGCAGCAGCAGCCGTTAACAACAACAGCATTGCACGGTAAGGGGTCCCGTTAAGAGCCCATTTGTGGGCAGACAGACAGGCCTTTGTGACGGCCTGTACTATCTATCCCCACATCATTTTGCTGCTATTCATCAGTCTAAGCAGCAGGCGTTTGGTGTATGCAGCAGCAGCCTGCGTGCTGCAGCAGCGGCAGCTTAGCAGCAGCGTCCTTTGTTGCTGTGGCGACAGTTATACGCTAACTAACAGCCACAGCAGCACAGCATTTCTTACATCGATTTGCGTCTTTTTCTCTGGGTGTCTGGGCAGCCCCACATATATAGAGTAGCTCCAGTTAGCTCTGCTGCTGCTGCTGCTGCTCCTTGGTGCTGTCCCGTATATATATCTATCTGTTTCTTGCCAACTTAACGGGCAGCTGCACAGCAGCACGACCCCTTATTATTGCCCGTTAAATCTTGCTGCTGCTGCAGCAGTGACAGCGGCAGCGGCAGGAGCAACCCTCCTCCCCAGGTGTACTCTTAACAAGTACATCTGTACTAACAGCTGCTGCCTCGGCAATAGAGGAGGCAGCCGCAACAACGGCGGCAACAACAACATAAGCAACAGCAGCAGCAACAGCAACAGCAGCAGCAGCAACAGCAGCAGCAGCACACCCTCAGCAGCTGGTGGTGGCAAGGTCGCATCACCCGCAGCAGTAGCAACCTTGGCCCTACCAACAGCTGCTACCGAAAGCATCAACAGGTTTGGCATCAAGAATAACAGCAGCAGCAGCAGCAGCAACTGGTGGACACCTATCTGCATAAGCAGGCACTGCAGCGTGAGCAGCAGCACCGCAAGCAGCAGATTCCAGCAAGCTATCGTTCTTCCTTGACTCGAGGTCTGCTGCAGTTGTGGAGATGAGCGAGACTGGAGGGGCAGCAGCAGCAGCAAACAACACGGACGGCCGCAGTGCAGCAGCAGGGACTCCTAACGGCGAGGCTGCAGCAGGAGGAGGAGCAGCAGCAACAGGGGACCTGCAATCATCGCCTCCTTCTGGTGCTACGAAACCTGACACCACCGATCAAGCAGCAGCAGCAACAGCAGCAGCAGCAGCAGCAGTTCCTCCTCTACCGCAGATCGTTAGTACTGAGCCAGGATGCTGCCTCCTATGTAGTGAGAAAAAGGGTCTGACACTCCTGCAGCTGCTGAAGGTACGACTGGCTCCACAGGAATCAGCAGCAAACGAAGGCAAAGATGCAGCAGCAGCAGCTCCAGGTGAAGCAGCTGCTGCTGCAGGTGGGGAGCAGAAGCCCGCCGCTGGAGGAACCACCGATTCTGCGTCGAGTGCAGCTAAGGACGAAAGCAGCAGCAACACGCCCGCCCAGGCACAGAAGCAGCAGCAGCAGCAGCAGCAAACTGTGCTGATGCCTCTACTGTTTGTACCTGGGGCATCAAAGGAGGCCTCATGGTCTCCCTGCGGGAGGCGGCTAGCTGTGGTTACTGCAGCAGAAGGTTTGCTGCTGCTTGAGCATCCTACATGGACTGTGGGGCCGGAGCTGCAGCAGCAAGCGGCGCAGCAGCTGCTGCGCGCAGACTGGCTGCTGAAGCAAGGTCAAGGTGAGCGTAAGAGGTCTGCCACCGCGGCTGCTGCTGCAGCTGCAATTGCTGGAGCAACAGCAGCAGCACCAACTCCTTCGCAAGCAGCAGCAGCTGCAATCAGGGAGAGCGTGCTGCAGTTGGTTTCTGCAGAGATGCAGAGGCAGCTTGTGCGTTTGCCGCTTAAGCCCGAGATCAAGCCTCAGGGTCAGCAGGAGCAGGAGAAGCAGCAGCAGCTGCTGCTGCAGCAACAGCTGCTGCAGCAGGTGGATCCGGATGCTCAGGTCAAGGCCTTGCACTGGTCCCCACGAGGAACATACTTGGTAGCAAATATACAGCTAGATCTGCGGTCGATGCTGATGCAGCAGCAGCAGCGCAGCAGCAACAGCAGCAGCTCTGCAAGCGAGTGCGCAGCAGACGCTGGCTGCAGCAATACGGACGCTGCTTCTTCCTCAGCTTCTGCTGCAGCTGCAGGGATGACTGCGGGTGGTGGTGCTGCAGCAGCAGCATCGGCAGCCGCAGCAGCTGCAGCAGCAGCAGCAGAGCACAACGTGTTTGTTTGGGAAGCAGCAACAGGGAAAGTTGTTGCTTCGTTGCAGCAGAAGCGACTCGTGTGGCCTCTGCTGCAGTGGAGAGATGATGAAGCCTTCTGCTGCATCCCTAGGAGGCCCCACTTGTTGGTGCGTTTGCTGCGGTGTATAGCTATTGTTGCCGCTGCAAGTAGTTTGTGCTGTGCTGCTCCTCCTGCTGTTCGTGCTGCTGCTGCTGTGCGTGCAGTGCGTTGGTTTGTATGAGGCACGTGTTCCTTGTACTGCCAACATCCTTTTTCCCTATAGCTGCATTGCTGCTGCAGCGGTGCAGCTTACAGAGTGTTTGTGTTGCCTTGCTGCTCGTGCTGCTGCTGCTGCTGCTGCTGCAGCCAGTGGCCCATCGTATCTAGTGTATTGTGTTTATGTGGTGGGGTTCAGGTGTACGCTGGCAACGATTTAAATAATTTGCTCTTTACGATTTTCGTGCGGCGGCTCAAGACCTTCGGCATCTGTCCTGTGCAGCGGCAGCAGCAGCAGGGGCAGCGCGAGAGGCGCCTGCACATTGCATGTTTCTCCTTTGGAGCCACGCAGCAACAGCAGCAGGCTGCTGCTTGTCCCCCGTCCTTCTCGGTCGTAGAGGTCCCAGATGTGTCTGCTGCAGCAGCAGGATTTGCCACAGCAGTCGCAGCAGCAAAAGAACGAGGAGAGGACCCTGAAGCAACAGCAGCTTTTGACCCTACACCAAACCCCCAGCAACAGCTGCTGGATCTGCTGCAGGAGCAGCTGCAAAAGTCCGCAGAGGCGGGTGTTGGTGCGACTGCTGGCTCAGCAGGGGATGGTGGAGCAGATGCAGCAACAGCAGCAACAGCATCGGTGCCTGCCTCCCGTGCTGTTGCAGCGGTTGCTGCAGCAGCATCACCAGCAGCAGCAAAAGAGTATGATAAGGCCCTTGTAAGGTTGCTTGCCTGGCAGGTGCTACCTTCAGCAGACTCCACGGACTTCTTATGGAGCGCCTCCGGCTCTGCCCTCCTTGCGGTCGCAAGCACCACTGTCGATGCAACAGGTGCATGCATGTTCTTGCGTTCTTTCTCCTCTTTCTTTTTATTTTTCTCCCTTTTCCCTTCATCTTATGGCAATTTGTTCTTGGCGCCTTTCCCTCGGTGTCTTGTGTACTACCTATTAAGTGTTGTATGCAGCTGACAGCATCTGCTGATTTCTCCGTTTGCAGTGTCGCGCCTCTCCCCAGTAGTTCTTAAATGCTGCGTCATCCTCTCAGCGTTCTTTGTCCCCGGTGGTTTCCGTTTAGGGTATAGTGTAGGGTTTAGGGTTTGCGTCTTGCGTTGCATCTCTTTGTTTATGTGTGTGACCACCTTGGCTTGTGTCCTGAATATTTCTGCTTGTCTTGCTTCTCTTCCTTTATATTGTTCTCTGCTGGACCTTCGTCCTCCTGTCAATACTTGCAGCATGGCTGCTGCATACTCTGTTGCATGCCTCGAGTGGATTGACTGCGTGCTCTTCATGCAGGAGAGAATTACGGTGGGGTTGGTGACTGCTGGGCAGTCTCCTTCGGGGCGCCGCAACACCCCCAGGCTGTTGCGGCATTGCAGCACATTCAGCGTCTGGCCCAACAGGAACAGGAGCAAGAGCAGCAGCAGGACTCGCAGCAGGGGGATGCTATGTTGGCGCTTCATTGCTGCGTCCGGCGCATCAGCAAGAAAATTGTGCAAGATGTAACATGGAGCCCCACTAGGGATGAGTTTGTCCTAATAGAGGGGAAGTCTCCAAGTGGTAAGGCTACAGCTGCATACAGATCCCTGGCGATCCGGTGTCTGCGCTGATGCTAGTTAAGTGTTCTTGTCTTTAGGAAGGCTTGTGTTGTGGTTTATGGGGTTGTATGGGCTGAGATTAATGTGCATGCATTTTTTTGTCTTTTTCTTTTGCTGTTGGTTACCTCTCCCTCTTGTTGCCTGCAGATATCTTGCTACTGGACCGTCAAGGGCGCACGCAGTTCGTCTTCCCGCGTCGGTACCGTAACTTTGTGTCTTTCTGCCCCTTTGGCCAAATGGCGGTGGTGGCGGGCTTCGGCAACCTAGCCGGTAAATAGAAACAAATGGTTTTTTCATGTATTTGCACCCCTTAAGGACTTCCCTGTTTTCATCTTCCTCATTGCCCCTGTAGCACCATGCTTTAGCGAGGCCTGCTGCTGAGCTGCTGCGGCTCTGCAATGCACTTGGCTACCGGTCGACTTTTTTCCTTTCTAGAAACGCTTCTCTCTACTTACTGCCTCTTCTGTTCATAAATATCATATCTGCCTGTTTCCGTGTTACTGCCGTCGCCGACCACCGCGGGTTGTGCTTGGGTTATTTAGAATTCTGTATGCAGGGTTGCTACTCTGTGGGTGTTGTTAGGGTAGTCTTGCTAGGTTGTCTGCTCTTGTATTATCGGTTGCCCCCCATGTATGCTTACCCGTGTCCGCTGTTCTTTATGTAGGAGAGGTTAGCTTCTATTATAGGGACAAGGCGTCACAGGGCATGCAGCACATCAGCGAGTTCAAAGCCCCGTGCACCGTCTTGGCTCTATGGGCACCTTGCGGCTCCTACTTCGCCACAGCTTCCACATACCCTCGCATGAAAGTTGATAACTCGCTGAGTGTCCTCGATTATAGAGGCAAGATGCTGTCTTCTGCCGTTTCTGCTCACAGATTTAGTGGTTTTGCACGCCATTAGGAGGGTGGTTCCCCATCTGTCTCGTCATTTTTAGTTTGCGGCACCCTTAGTTTCTTGTCGTTGCTAGTGCTGCTAGAAGCCACATTTTGCCCTTTTCTTTGCTCTCCCCCATCTCAACTTCGGCTTTGATTTGGTGTTCGTGCTGCAGGAGAATCTGTGCAGCGTCTCCAGTTCGATGAACTGTATCATATAGCGTGGAAGCCGGAGTCTGATTTGTGAGTAGCCAGGCGCACATCAGCAGCAGCAACGACAGCAATAGGAATGGCCATTGTGACTTGTGATGACTTTGCGGCAATTCATATACTTTGCATTCGGTTCGCTGATTGGATTCTGCAAAAAAGAAGCTTTTGGGAACAGATTATCCTTTGCCGCTGTAGTGCTTTTCTGCGTGCGTTATTCTCCGTTGCGTCCGTGATTCTTCCGTGAGTCTATATATCTTCTCTGCCTCTGTTTCTCTTTTTTGCATCTGTATCTCTTCTTTGTGTCTGTATATCTGCTCAGGGAGCCCCCGAATGCACCGCAGCCCAACGAGCGTCTGCTGGCCGCTGCGGAAAATCAAGCATTCCGCCCGAGGGGAACAACGCAGCGAGGAATTACCTCCCGTATCATGAACGGTCAGTAGGCTGTGTCGCTGGTGCTGTAGCAGCAGGTGCTTTTGCGGGCAAATCTGTGTAGCTGGTGGTGCACCAGCTGCTGTTGTTGGGGTCTGCTGAGCCTCGGGGTAGCAGCATCGACATAAACACGAACACCGGCGGAGTCAGCGCTTGTGGCTGTACTGGGTGCGTCCGCAGGGGAACAGGTGGACGAGTCCGAATTGCCTGAGGAGCTGCGGAGACAGCGCGAACAGCTGAGACGTCGGAAGACTGCTGCTGCCGCCGCGAAGCGAAAAGAGACAGAGGTGGTTGAGTTGGAATGGAGACGCCGTAAGTTGCCACTGCTGTTTTATGGGATGTTGGTGCTTGATGCGTATGCGTTTGGTGCCCACTGGACCGGATGATGCATTTCGCTGCTGTTGCCCACAGAACCGAAGCAGGAGCCTAGACCGGCAGCTGAGGAGGCGGCGGCGGGGTCCTCAGCAGCACCTGCTGCTGCTACTGCTGCAGGGGAAGGAAAGCAACGAGGAGGAAACAGTACAAGCAGCACCTCAAATGCAAGAAGCGACAGTAGGGCGTCTGCGGCAGCAACAGGCGGACGCCAGCAGCAGCAACAACAGCAAGATCCCTCATCAAGTGCTCCGGCTAGTGCCTGTTTCTCGGGAGATGAAGGAACTCAGGAGTTACAGGGTGCTGCAGGACAGCAGCAGCAGGAACATCAGCCGCAGCAGCAACAGCAGCAGCACGCCCGACGCAAGGCTGCGGATCAAGCATCTGTGGGGGCAGACTGCGCTGTAACAAGCGGTAGGTGGCGGTGGTTTTGCCGCTGCAGTTGCTTCGAAGGGCTAATGGGAGGACAGTGAGGCCGTTTGGGCATTGCTTGCATTTTGGTGATGTGCTGCCTGCACATGGCGCCCTGTTACTTTTGTGCTGCTGCATTTGGTCTTCAGGTGCCGTGGAAGATTTGGCTGCGATGCTGGAGCAGCAGTCACTGCAACTGGTTCAGCCGCAACAGCAGCAACAGCGCCAGCAGCAGTGGCAGCAGCACTGGCAACAGCAGCAGTTACAACAGCATCAAATGCAGCAGCAGCAGCTCCAACATCAACAACTGCAACAGCAGCAGCTTCAGCAGCAGCAACTCCAACAGCAACTGCAGCAGCAGCTACTGCAGCAGGGAGGTCGCGCCGCAGGAACGCAGCAGACGCCAGCAGCAACTGGTCTCCAAGGGCTAGGGCCTGCACATCCGCCGGTGGGTGTCATAGGCTCCCAGGTGCGGCAACCGCAGCAACAGCAACAGCCGCAGCAGTTGACGCCTCAGCAACAACAGCAACTGCTGCAGCATTTGCAGCAACACCTTCAAATGCAGCAGGCAGGGGGCGCTGGCTCCGCACGCGCACCAGGACATAATTCACAGCAGCAGCAGCAGCAGCAGCAACAGCAGCCTCTATCGGCTGAGCAGTTGTCTGCTGCATTGCGAGTGATGCTGCCAAACCTGACGGTATCGCAGCAGAATCAAGTGCCGCGCCAGCATCAGCAACAATGGCAGCAAACATCGAGGGGAGATAACGCTCTGAGTGCCTTAGCAGCTGCTGCAGTTCGACAGCAGCAGCAACAACAACTTCTTCTTCTCAGGCAGCAGCAGCAACAGCAGCAGCAGGACTTGGTAAGATTGGCGTATGATCTTCGATGCATTTTGTGCTGCAACAGTGAAGTTCCTACTGACACCGCTGCTGTGGCTGTTGCTGTCTCTACCACTCGAAATCCTGTTCTTGCGGTGGTCATTGTGGTGTATTTGTGTTCTTCTCTGTGTCCACAGGAGCAACAGCAGCAGCAACACCTGGAGGCCCAGTTGCGTCCATTGCTTCAGCAGCTACAGCGTGGCACAGCCGAGCCGACACTGGGTCGGGGTGCTGCTACGATGCAGCATCATCAGAAGGCACTGGCGCTGTTGCGTGCTGCTGCAGCACAGCAACATAAACAGCAAAACCAGCAACAGCAGCAACAACGGAATATGGTCCTACAGCAGCAAGCTATGCAACAGCAGGAAATACAGCGGCAGCAGCTGCGACAACAGCAGTTGCTTCAGTTACAGCAGCAGTCAGACATGCAGCGGGATGGCACATTGGACGCACACCTTCAACAGCAGCAGCGCCAAGCGTCATCGACAGCATCAGCTGCCGCTACCTTAATGAACTTGCCACGGGAAGCGCGTTTGTTGCTGCAGAGACTGCAGCAGGGTGAGGGAGCTCAGAAGACAGCGCAGCTGCTGCAACAGTTGCAGCAGCAGCAGCAGCTGCAACAACAGCAGCTGCAGCAGCAACAGCTGCAGCAGCAGCAGCAACTACAGCAACAGCAGCAGCTGCAGCAACAGTTGCAGCAGCAGCAGCAGTTGCAGCAGCAGCAGTTGCAACAGCAACAACAGCACCAGCAGCAACTCCAACAGCACCAGCACCAACAGCTGGAGCATGACGAGGTACAGCAACAACAGCACTGCCGGGGACAGCGTTCCGCAGGGGTGTCGCAGCAAAGGCATGGTCCGAGGCAGCAAACTTGGGACAGCGGAACTGATAACGAGCAGCAGCAGCAGCAACTTACTCGACAGCAGCTGCAGCTGTTCCAGCAGGTGCAACAGCAACAGAAGCATCACCCACAGCAGCAGCTGCAGCAACAACACGTACTGCTTCAGCAACAGGTCCAGCAGCAGCAGCAGCTGCAAGGGCAGCAGTTGTTGCATCAGCAGCAACAACAGTGGCAGCAGTTGTTGCATCAGCAACAGCAGCAGCAGCAACGACAGCACCAACAGGGCCGCAGGCCAGATGTGACGAAGGAACAGTGCTGGCAGTACATTGACCCCAAGGGGAACGTGCAGGTGGGATGTGGCTATGTGAATATTTCTGCTACAGCACCGGGAGCATCACTATGTAGCGGCAACCACGAACAACACATTTGTAGCATTTACGGTGGTTGCCCCGCACGACTGTGGTAACAGTTGCACAGGCAGTAGCCACCGGCTGACGATGTCATGATTAGTTTCTCAAGCCATGTGCTTGCACTCCATTCCGTATTAGCACGCCTGGTTTTGGTTTGCGCAGGGTCCATTTTACATGAAGGAAATGTTTCTATGGAACACAATGGGCTACTTCGACCCCGGGCTACCGGTGCGCTGCTGCAACTCAGACAAATTCCTACCTCTCAACAAATTGTACCCTCCACCAACTAGGCCATTTATGTCGCCACCGAAACCCCAAGCAGCCGCCGCTGCCGCTGCTGGCTTTGGAGGCAGCAGTGGAGGCCCCTCTTCAACATCGAACACTCCCACTGCAGGGGTGCATTCTTCAGCACCGCATGCAACCAGCACTGAAGATGGAAACGGAGGCGGCGGCACTGCAGGCACTAGCAGTCTTCCGATGGGGGACCAAAATGCTGCTGCGGCTGCTTCAGGAGGCAGTACACCCCAAGGTGGTAACGATGGACGCACCTAAATAGCAGCAGCAGCGCCACGGTCGGCGGTGTCGGCTGCACGCGATGAGACAAGTTTGCTTCGTTGCGCCGAGGGACCGCTTCGATTGCCTCGTGCTGTCAGGCAGAGGCTTCGTTCTTCGCTGTTGCTAATCTGAAAGCGTGTTGCTCTAGGAGACACTGGTGCAACTTTTAGCTCAGCAGCTGTTGTAGCCAGGCCTCTTTGACGCGTACCGTTAGGGGAAGATGCGGTCTGGAGAGGCATATTGTCTTTCTGTGTCATGCTGGAAGTTTTTGCTGCACTGGCGGCAGAAGCGCCAGCAGGAGAGCACCTGAATCAAAGCAGGCGCACCAGCTGTTGGTTGCAACCGCGTAGTCGATCCATCCTTGACTTGCAATTTTGGGGGGACTGGCTTTTGCTGTGGGTTCTCTGGAGCAGTGGAAGAGACATATTCGTTGATCATGCATTTTCTTTTGGCTGTAGCTTTTCATTGCGGTCATCATTGAGGTTCCCCGCCCTGTTGTCTGCTTTCCCCGTCGCAGTGCATTGCGTATTCCGCGCATTTCGTTGCGTATTGCTACTGTTCTTCCGTTTAGACTGTTAGAATCAGTGCGAGGTGAGGAACAGACTGGGTCATATTTACGTTGACAGTTGTGTGTGGATGCTCCAATTTTTGTCAGTGAGTGTTGGCTTGTCTGAAGCGCGTGAACTTCATCCCCGTACCCCAGCTGACTTCCTCCTCCTTTCGTCCTTACACGCGTCTCGTGTTCCTTCGCTCCCCCATGTGCTTGCTTGCAATTATTTCCTTCTGTAGTCTCTGAAGACTCTGTGAACCAGCGCGACTGCCAGAATCAACCTTGCACGCGCAAGGTGCCTTAACGGATCTCTGCAGCTGTTCAAGCACCTTTGTAGAGATAACATACAGCCGCGTTGGTCTTTGCTGCCACTCATGCAGCTAGTAGTAGTATGTACGAACTGGTCTTGAAACCAACAGCTTGGCCCTAGTGAGGCAAATAAGTGTCTGTGTCTCAGTGCTGGTAACCAGGGTGCGAAACAGGTGGACGTTATGTGTGAGGTGTAGTTCACGTTGCCAATATCGCTAGTTACCTCCCCAGCTGACCAGAAGGGCGCTGGTTCGGGCATATGCATATGGCAGCCCCAGCTTACGTGTGGTGGAAGCTGCCGGCCAGAGGCGAACGTTGCGCCGGCGAGTTCAGTGTTTTCGCTCACCTTTCAGTCAAGCGGACTAAAGGTTTCTACCTTATTACATGACCAATGACGAACTCATTACTCTTCCCACCAGCAGCATGCTCTCAGCCCTTGTGCCTAGGGAGCCTGAGGAACTCTTAGCGTAGGTCAATGCCATTGCAACTCTCGAGACGTCAGCGAGCATCGACAACTTTCGTTCCCATACGCCTGTCGAATTGTTGTTGTTGTTGCACGAAGATCTCAGTCGACCCCTAGATGCATATTAGGCTTCCAGAAACCAACACACCACAACAACGGTTTATTCGACAAGCATGATATGAGCCATAACCCCGCAGGGACCACAGTGCTTGTCGTTGCGCGTGGTGGCCAGGCCAACTGATAACATCGAAAGGAAGTAATTTTACGTGGCTGATTCACAGTTAATGGGTTAGTTTAGAATAGACCTCCTAAGAACCCGGATGAACAAGGGCATTGCTCTACAGATGGATAATCGGCGGCCCCCCACCCCTCGGCTGTGTTACGGGACCGCCACCTACGCGCCCCTCCTAAAGCTGAATGTCTGGGTAATGTTGTGCTTCCAGATGAAATAGCAATTGCTTTTTGCCTGCATTCAAGTGAGTGTTTGTGAGTTTCTGCCGTGTGAGGCGCTTGCGAGGTGAAGGGCAATGATTGTTGGATGTGTCGGTGCTGCTGTACAAGGCTGAGGCATATGCACTCCAAGGTCCCAGGCACAGACTTCTTATCCTTTTGAATATATATCCCTCCATCAGCATCTTAACAACACATTTTGGCGCCACCACTGGAGTTGTTGGTGAGCCTCCGCTACTCGGGTGCTGGAGTCCCCTAGAGTGCCGGAGAAACAAACTCAACCGTAATTCATTGACTACGTATTCGTCTTCGGTGCGCCCTAAGCCCAGGTTGTGTGTTTTTTCGCGTGCTGTTCACTCTTGACATATTGTCTCGTTGGGGAGGAAGAGCGTGGATTTGTTGCTTTCAAACAACAAGCGTTGGAACCCATTGGACCTAATTCGGGTTTTCCTGGAAATTCAAGCGGAAGGATATTCACAAGCTTGAAGACGTAGTCGCGGAAATCAAGGGAAGGAGAAGCAGGTTTCGCGTTCAGGACCTTAAAGTACGGCTGGCTGAGTGTCGCCAACGCCAGCGAGAGATCCCCGCAAGGAAACACCCATTGAGAGGAGTACACGCAGTGCTCAAGGGCCTCGCCTTGCCCCCCGTTGCGTATGCTCTGCTCTGTTTTTTACACCGCCACAATTTTAGGTTGACGTATGCAGCCGAACCCACGTCGTCTGCCCTGTTGTTATGCGTGTGTAAAAGGGTCCGTCCATTTGTTCCCAGCGCTGGCCAGCAAAACACCTGGCCAGAGACAGTAGGGGACCTGCAGCTGAGCATGGTCTTACAATTGTTTTATTTATAGACAACTGCTGAGGAGAAGAGTCTTGCTCTTTCCCTTGAACTGTGCAACAACGACGAGTGCTCCACCTTACCTTTCGTCCTTCTTCGCTACTCGTTGTGATGGGTCACCACTATGAGCATCCCCTCTTGTGGCTGGATTGCGAGATGACGGGCCTTGACCCTCTGAAAGACAGGATCTTGGAGGTTGCGTGCATTTTGACGGACGGTGATTTGGGACACATGCAGAAGGGGCCCAGCCTGGTGCTGCACTGCCCGAAGAAGGAACTTGAGGAGATGGGATCTTGGTGTCGCGAGCATCACGGGAAATCAGGACTGACACAAGCCTGCCTGCGGTCATGTATGACTGCGAGCGATGCCGAGCAGCGCATCATAGCTTTCTTGAAACTGAACGGAGTAGGCGCTAAAGAAGCAGTTCTAGCTGGAAATTCGGTTCATATGGATAAGGAGTTCCTGCGGAGAGAGATGCCAGAACTTATTGAGTTTCTGCACTACAGAATCTTGGATATTTCCAGCATCAAAGTTGTCGCAAAAAGTTGGTTTCCCCGTGTAGCTCCGCCGAAGAAGCGGTACATGCATAGGGCGCTCGCCGACATCCAGGAAAGCATTGAGGAGCTTGCCTACTACCGTAAGCAAATATTTAGAGACCTGGAGGACAGCCTTACATCCCGTGATAACGCACCGTCATAACGAACTCTTACAGTTGCTTTGAGCTGAGACTGGCGGATTTGTGTCGAAGGTTGAGGTTAGGCGGCTGACCCGATGTGCTGAGTTTCTACTCCGTTTGCGATGCGCCTCGCGATCTACGAACGCGAGTTGGCCGGCTGGCCTTGACGCTGATGAAAGTGAAGGCGTGCCGAAATATGGTGCATCATTTTTATACGCATGGACGTATCCCCCTTCATTAACCCCCCTCCCGCCCCACCCCCCCTACCCTATGTATCGCTAAAAGCGTTAAGAGGCTTTTGCAAACAGGTGTCAGTCGGTTGGGCAAGCAAAGGGGTTGGCCTACCATGGGGCGCCTCGCCATCGTGGGGAGGCAGAACTTTGGGTTTGTGCCCAAAATTTTTTAGGGCAATGTACCCTAAGTAAAATGTAATTTGGGCGTTGAGGTGCAGTAGTGTTACCACTGCCTCTAAGGGTGACAAGGGTCAATCTGCACCAGCCTTTCCGCCGCCGTCGACTTGGTACTACAGTGGTGGCATAGGCGCATACAGAGTGGTGTAGCCGCCAGTGCGGCTGCTCTCTTGCTTAGCCCAGGTGGAGTCTTCAGTCTTGCTGTCTATTGTTTGCGCGGGGGTACCAGAGACCTTCCCTCCCCTGAGTGGGGTAACACGGCGGGCCAGAGGAGCACTTCCTCACCCGTTTGAATGTCAACGATAGTACTGCAGATGCTCCAGCTAGCTATCACACTGCTAGAGCCAGGTAGACGGTTGCTACGGCTAGCCAAGGAGCCGTTGAAGCTAGCCACAGAGCTGGTGGCTCGAAACATATTGGGCCTCCGCCCGGGGCTCCAGCATCGGCTAAAGGCTACCGGAATTGGCGTAATACATTCGCTAAAGCATTAGTAAAGGACCATATACGGCAGCGCTTGTACAGAGCAGCTATAACCCGTTGGGCTTTTCACCGGCAATTGGAGTGACCTATGAACCATGCATCCTGTCACTTCTTTCCGCGGATTGCACAGTCCCCTCTGCAGCGGCTGCACGCTTGCGCTGTTTCTTTCGCCGTTTCCACGTCTGCTGAGCTACAGGAATAAGGCCCAGCGATGTGTCTGCTGTCTCAGGGTGCCCTCTCTTTCTGTCTCCATCACCTTCAATGAAGTCCTTGGCCTGAATGTGCAAGGAAGAAGGGGCTGGCAAAGCATCCGATGCTGCCGCTGCTTCTGCTGATGCGGCTGGTGCAGAAACGGAAATCCTTGTCTGCTCTGCAGCCAGTGCTGCTACAGTTTCTGGGTCCGGTGGCGGAGGGGGATGAGCCGGGAGCATCAGGCTGTCTGTGCTGTCGATGTCGTCATTATGTGCTTGTTCCTGCCGCTGCTTTGCTGGCGTCGCCGTCCAACTACAGTGCTTGGTGGTACGAATATACAATAATCTATTCTTTTCCATCCTCTGGAGCTGCCTGTAAACCCAGCGTGCAACTTGCCTCGCTGTGTGTGAGGCGTTCCGGGCCTGAGTGCAGCAGTGACAAAACACGTTGAAGACAACCCAAACTCACAGGGTCTTCCCCACCAATGGTTGTTTCTTGTGCATTTGCTGCCCCTGCCGTTTTGCTGATACGGCTACTGAGCTGAGTTGACTCACATTTTCGGAAGACGAGGGAGCACCTGGAGGTCCCGCGCTTCCTGAAGAAAATAAATGCAACAGGGTCAGCATTGGCAGAGGCCTAAAAAATATAACTATTGAGAAACACAGACAGCAGAAATGGTAGCTAGGCCCACAGCAACAGCCGCAATTGCAGCCACTTACTATGAATGGTCATGCCTTCCATGTGCGAAGAGAGCACAGCCGAGGAAACGCGAACTATGACTGGCGGCTTAGGGCCGTTAGCACCCATGGAGAAGAAACCCCTTAATTGAACAGGCCGCTCTTGCTGCTCCTGGGGTTTGCTGCTCTCGCCATAACTACTACTGCTTCTGCTGGTGCTGTTTCCACTGCTGCTAGCGCTAGTGCTGTCGTAACCTTTGGACCGACTACATGCTTCAGTCTCCTCCTTGGGCGCATGTGAGGCAGATATCGAAGCATCCGCAGAGGCAATCAGCTGCTGCTGCTGAGCAGCTACAGCCTCTCTAAGCACTGTAGCTGACGGTAAAAGGTCATCCTCGTCGTCTATCAGCTCTGGCTGCTGTTGCTGCTGCGACTGCTGTTGTTGCTGTTGTCCCTGTTGCTGCTCTCCTGGTCTTCGATGCTGGTCCGGCACTGACGTAGGTAAAGAAGATGCAACTGTTTTTTCCAAAGCACCCTGAGGGGAAATAACCAATAACAGCAGACGTGGGATGCTTTGACGGTGCCATCCATGCAGCGGGGAGCTGACAGCACCAGCCAGGACGGTAGCTCGGGCCAAGGGTTCTCCTCTCCTGTAGCAGCAGGTCCTACTTGGATGGCTTTAAGTATCTCTGCTCCGTATCGGTGAACCGCTGCTGGTGTGGGGCGGATGGCATGACGGAGTTGGACGTGGTTTAATGGCCTCTGCAGTACCAGCAACCCACACGACTGCAGTAAATGACGCATTTACAGTCGGAAGCGCAGCAGGTTTCGCCAAAAGGGGTAGAGCGACTCGGCAGGCAGGAAGCAGATCAAAGACTGGCAACTGCGCCAATGCTGCAGCAGCTACACGTCGGGTGTGGCCACCGTTAGCTCTCTGCTCACCCTTTGCGCCAGAAGCAAAATGCACGCATTCGCCAGGACTGCGTGGGGGCTGACGTCCCTCTTTCGTGCCACAGAATCTCGCCATGAGAGGAGTCCCTTCTGCGCGCATGGTAAAAGAGAACCAGACGCGTTCAGGCATCACCAGCAGGGGCAGCGGGAGCACCAGCAGCGGCAATGAAGCACGGAAGGTAAGCACCAACTCGACAGCAAACAATGAAAACCAGATTCAAGTGCAATTTTGGTGCAGCCACCACCGCACAAGGAGAATCAACGGAAAATGACAACCGCCGCAAAAAGGAGCAACAGCAACATCCGGCAACCGCACACACAAACAGTGTGGCTCACAAGAACGGCAAAAGAAAGAGGAGCGAGCGCGGTGCTGTTTCTTTTGAGGAGTTGGGTCGCTTCCTTCTCCTCATCAAACGGCCCCTCAGTGTAGAGGGAAAGGCAGATATCTCTGCTCCGTTCCAGCACGCCAAGCATTGCAGCTCGGCCTGACTGAACGCCCATACAAAGCACAGGCAAGTAACCCCCACTGCAGACAAATTGCTGCTGCAGACGCTACAGGCGACGCCCTCTTGTCCTTCTTCTGTTCCTCCCCCCCACAACCCCCGCCAACCCTCCTTCACAATGAATGCGAACGCTAACAGCCCCTGAACCAATTCTATTGGTGACAACTGCATCTCCTGGCACCAGAATCATGCACTGCTGCTTTTCGTGTGCTCCTGTGCCTGAGAAACACACAGCTGTAGGGGCTCCCAGCTCCTCGGGCGCGATGCAACTCATTTGGTACATCCCCGTCCTGAGGTGGCACTCGCACACAGGAGCGGCAGCGGCAGGAACTCATACTTCGCCTCGGGTAGCACAAAAGTAACGTGAAGCGGCAGCATACAGCAGCCATTCTCAGTGCCCAACGAATCGCTAGCTGCCACAGAGTCTGTGTCACCGTCCATAGCACGAGCGCAAGCAGAGAAGAGCAGCAGCAAAATCAGCACCGCTCACTGGTCGTCTCTCGCGAGAATTTGGTTTTGCATGCACTGGTAGATGTAAGGCAAGTAGTGAGTGTCAGATCGTCCGTAAGCCTTCATCTCCTCCGTCAGAGGTCTACGCAGAAGCAGCAGCAGCAGTTGCAACAATAAATACACAATTGCAGTGTCAGAGCCAGAGCTCAAAATAGTCGCGGTCAGCAAGAACTTTCAACAAATGGCAACAGAAAGCCGGCGGATGGCCCACCTAACTCTCCAGTCTGCTAGTTGCATCTTTTTGTCCTTTTGCTTCTTCATGTAGAAGCTAAGGAGGTTCGCCAGAGAGGCACCACCCGGAACAGCCAGGGTCCGAGCGGCCACGGCTGTATCAAAGACGTTTACGAGGTAGACAGAGAAGTCGCGCTACGACAAAAAAAAAGCATATCTAGAGCATTTGCTTGCATAAAAGAAAAAGGACCTCTGCGGGCACGCAAAGACCGGGGCGCCCAGCAAAGGCGCCTGTGCAGTCTGCACGGGTATAAGTACACAAATGGCTTCAATGCATAAGGAGTCAATGGGCTTCACTTCTTGGTTCCAAAACTAGAACATGAATTTACATGGAATATACAGTGCACCGTATACATTCATTCAGTGTGGTTTGCTCCTGGATTTCGGCTTCAAAACATACAATATACGTTCAAATGAAATGTGTGGCGCATAATAAGTACTTTAGCTTCCGTAGCCATTACACAGTAGCAAGCTTACCTGAAGCCATAGGACGTCGCTGGCAGAGCCGTGGAGGATCTTGAGAATTTTGGGGTTTGCGGTTAATTCGTTCAAAGCTGGAAGGTGAGCAAACAGAGAGAAAGGGTCCACGATGAAATCCTTGGCTGCCCCAACGCCGCTGCAGGTGGACAGCTGCAGCAGGCAAACGAAGCCCTTGTAGCTCTCATAAGAGTGGTGCTCCGTGTCGATTGCCACAACCTTATGGCGACCTGCGGAGGGGAGCAGCAACAACAGAGAGGCCAACAGCGAATCCAGCAACAGCACAAAGCCAAAAAATGCGCCACTGTCAAATTGCTTACACCAACAGGCGGCTGCAACATCAACAGGAGCAGGAGACCCCGTGTCCAGCGGCAGCATCCAAGCAGCATTGGCAGTGGCAAAAGCAACCGGACTATCAGCGCCATTTAAGACAGCAGCAGAACCAACAGCAATGCCAGCACGGAACGACAAGCGCCGCGTGTCTCACCACTGCACAACTCGTCCAGCATCTCCCGGAGTTGCTGCGGTGTCTCCACTAAGACAAGCGGTGTCCGTTCGACCGGCTGAGGCATTGGAGGCTCTTTCAAGGTAAAGAAATCTGTTATGGAACAGCAACAGCAGCAGCAGTGTGAAAGCAAAGCAGCAGCTCTTACTTTCGACGCTACCCCAGCACATACCCGCGTCGTCCCCACCAGAGAACAATATCCCCCATATGCAACAGCAGCTTCCGCAGCAGCAGGACGATTGACAGCTTGACCTGCTTCTGCCCCAGCAATTGCTGGATGCGGACACACCTGAATATATATCTGGTTGTTGCTTGTCCCCCGGAAGCAGCCATTCCAGTTCGTTCAATTCCCCTTCATACGGATGAGGAAGCGGCTCTGGGCTCTCAGCTTTCTGGGCCTCATCTTCTTCGTGCTGCAGCTTCTGGATATCCTCTTCCTGCTGCTGAAGCTGCTGCAGCAACAACTGCCGCTGGTGTCCCACTGCCGTCTCCAGAGCCAAACCAGTCGACACTGCGTCCTCGAACAGCTCCCTGCGCCTCTCGAGCCTGATGGCCCGATGTTTCTGGGCCTCTATTGTAGCTTCAGGCAAAGGATACTTTTTGTGTGGCTTCTGGTGGAGCCGAGGGACAAAGCGTCTGCTGTTGTTGTTTATCAAGTATGCCCAGTGGCTCTGTGGACGGCCCTCTACCACAGACAGCAAACCTGGAAGGGGCAAAACACGTTTAGAGCGGTGCAGCGTGGCAGTGCCACCAGCTGCCGCTATATCTGCATCCTGATGCTGCTCCTTCTGCCCCTTTTTCTGGGCATTCGATTTCTCCTCCTGCTGCTCTTGGGACAGCCGCGTGCATACCTTCTTCTGGGGGTTGCGCCGATGCGCCTCCAGAGAGACGTCTACAGCTTCAAGAAGCTCGTCAAGTAGCCCCTGGACAACTGTTCCGACTCCCTCGTGAATCTGCTGCCCATCTTGTTCCAGCAGCGCGCTGCTGCTGCTGCTGCCGGTGCCGTTGTGGGCGGTGGTGGAAGGACCTGTATGTGCAAGGGAACGATGAAGGGCTTCCGCCTTCCTCAGAGGAATCAGAGATTCCGTTCTGCCAGAGCATCCGGCAGCAATCTCTAGGAGAATTCGAAGGGTGTCTGCGGCTGCTGCCTCTGTGGCTCTCCTCGCGCCGCTACTCGTGGAGGTCCTGATGGTATAGTCATCGCCCCCAGGGATTTTCTGTGCAGCAGCAACAACACCGGCTATTTGGTGCAGAAGACTCTTCAAACTGTTGGCTGGAGGCAAAGTCAGAGTAGCCGAAGGCCCACCTACTGCAGCTGCTGTTTCAGGTGAGGTGTTACGGGCCCCTGAGGGTACACTTTGTTCCGAGGGATGTTCCAGGGTCTGCTGTTGCTGTAGAAGATAGCCATCTACACTTGGAAGGCAGAAATTCATTGTGACGTTCAGCAACACGCGGCCCCCTACACAAGCAGCTCCTCTTTTGTGTGGGTCCCTCCAGGGCTGCGAGGGCAGGCGAGTTCAGATACGCCTTTCCCCTCCAAAGGAGTTAGCCCAACACAAAAGTATACACAAAATTCGACAGAAATAAACGCAGAAGACAAGCTTCTGGTGAAATGAGCTCTGATGGTTCCCAAGGGCCCCCCCGCCCCGCTGACGCTGTGCTTCTGTAAGCCGTTGGCGTGCAAGAAGAAGCCTTCAGTTTGTAGGAAGCTCACATGGGAAGTTATGGGACCGTAGAAGAACCGTGAACGGTCTGTAAAGAGGTAGACAGAGATCCAAAAGATCTACTTGCAATGCATGCAGCATTACTTGGGGCTGCGAGGCTGCTTATGCCAGGGATCCGTTCCTCTCTGCATGCCTCATGACCAAGATCCGATCCTCGTCGAAGATAGCATTGCAATAAAAATCAAATTGTCGAACCTAATTTGGTACATACTGTAATTGTTTCGCCGCTGGGTAAAGTGTGGGAGACGGTTTAAAGGATGTGGCATTTTTGGCTGCCCTGCATGCATCTCCTGCTATTCAAAGCGACAAATAATGCAGATTAGGTACCAGTACATCCAACTTGGAGAAAACCGCAGTTGTGTAGCTGCATCTGGAGGGCAGAAACATTGCAGATGTTGATTGCTCTGTGCGTAGGTCCCTGCATGCATGGCGTGTGTGACGGTAGGCCACTACTGACAGAATGCAGTGATTAGCAACTGCCTAATGTGTCCGTGCATGCACATAAAGGTGGCACCTGCATATATGTTTGTGAATTTGCCTTGGCTGCAAGGCTTGCACCCAACTGAACTGCAACTTATTACAGAGCTTCTCAACTCCCTCCACCAGAAAACGCAGGCTCTGGCGCCACTAACCACACCACCTGTAGGAGAGAGTGGGGGTCATCTTCTGCCTAAGAAAACTCTTAGTAGAAGTCAGTGTTCTGTCGTCGCACATGACGGTCCTCTCCAAAGAACGAAGGTCCCAGGTACTGCATGAACGAGTAACGAAGGCTGATCTGCTTCTGAACGACTGTAAAAAACACAAAGTCAGCCTTCCTGAGAATGTAGCCGTGGCTTGTGTTCTCTGGATCATTAAAACCTACATTTTGCTCCGGGTGCGTGCGTGTTCCAAGTTTCTTGCCGCGTAGGGTCTTCCCAGTTGGACATAGTGCAGCAGATTTTTATAATTTGGGTACAGTTTTGAGTCATGTGCGGCAAATGTGAATACTGGTGCCTTCTGGGGCAAGAAGGAGAATGCGTAGGAGGGGAGGGGGGGGACAGGCTGCGGCGGCGTTTCGCTCGCTGCGGTCAAGAGGAGAGAGAAGTGCCTTTAGGAGGCGACGATGCTGTCTCCTCGAGACATTGTTTCAAACCTTATTGTTATTAAAAACGCTCTAAAAAGAAACCTTGCGGTGGGCGTCCGCAAAGGTTACCTCGTGCGTACGAGCCACATGGCGAAGGCCTTTTTCAGCCACACTCGTGGATTGTATCCAACCATGGCAACAGGGGGCATGAATGCATATACGGTGCTTTTTATATGTAGAGAGTGTCGCCCGTAATGTGGCTTTGCAATTGACAAATGGAACATTCGAATCAAATTGCCGCAGGGGGAAACAGGACGCATTGCACTGTAGAATGCATCATGCTGCCTTCGAAAGAAACAACGGCAAAACGTGGAACGCAACCATCAAAAGGGCGCATTTCATCGTCAAGTTACCTATGGATATAGCGTCAAAAGTGAGGAAGGCCCGGTCGGAACATTTTGAAGAGAGGCATCTGTGCAAATTTGGCGCTTATTCGCGCACGTTAGCTTGAGGACGCAAATAAACTTCACCAGTTAGTCTATCAACTCCAGACACCACAACGAAACGATAATGTCCTGTTTAGTTCGAAGATTGAAGTTGTTGCGTGCCTGGCAGCTGCATTCGCGCTGGCTGTAGAGGGCGTTTCAAGGTGCCTGGTGGTCCAATTACGGGGAGACCTAGAGCAGAGAGAACGCGAGACATGCCAAGTCAGTAGAGGCTGCGGGATCGTGGGGCTGCAGGAGAGCCCATCGGCTAACTAGAGCCAGTTTGACTGCAGCAGCAGAGGCGGCGCTGGAGCGCATGCGTTCCCCTATCTCCTCGAGACGCTGCGATGCGCCTTCGTAGGTCCACTGATATGCCCAAGTGGACAAGAGCTCATCTGAAACCAGCAGAGCGCTGCGCTCCCTGCTAAAGGCGGCAAGTAGGGAAGAGAAGAAGGGGGTTGGGAAAAAGGGGAGCTGCGGTTCCACAAAGAGAGGACCCTGCTTTACAAACTCCTCCAAAGGTTGCAACGGCCCGCACGGTAGGGGAGTTCCTGTGACCAGCAACAGCTCGTGAAAAGCCCTGTGGACCGTCGCGTCCATTTCTGTCTGAAACTCCAGCGTCTGCAAAGTCCTCGCCAGACCCTGTGCCAAGGCCAAGGGGACAGCTGGCTTCCTGGCAGCGGCATCAGGGTAGGCAGGAACAGCGGCTTTCTTCGCGCCTAGGAGGTCAAGGAAGTCCCGAAAGCTTAGCAGCTCTTCGCCAGGGGAGCTACGGCCTGCCCCAGGAAGCACGGTGGGCTGCAAGAAGTAGCGATCCTCCTCAATGCCTTTTCTGGAAACAACAAACTCCTCCAGAGCCTGCAGCTGAGATAAGCGCGTCCACGCGGCCTTCAAGACCACCCGCGCGATCTGCAGCTGCTGTACGTACAGCCCGTACTGTTGTTTGGACGCCCCCTGTGGCGGGCGCCCCTTTTGGAAAACCCGCATCACCTGGCGTTCAAAAAGCTCGAGAGGCGATGTGAGGGAAGGCGAACCGTAGACCCTTGGGGTGTAGTGCGTGTAGAATGACTGCCTGACCTCCGGCGAGACTCTCCCCCACAGCCGCTTCAACTCGCTTGCTGCGTTTGTGAGTGCCTTCTCGTATGCCTGCACCTCCTTGAGACTCGAAGTAAGCGGAGGGCCCCTAGGTCGGGGCTCAGGAGACCGCAAGATTCGCCGGCAGCTCACCGTCAGCACTGCCAATAGCATCGCCAGGAAAGCAGCGCTCCACACCACAGCTCTGCGCCTCGACTTGCTCTTCGGCTTGGGATGGAGCAAGAGGGGTGAGTCGTCAGCGACCTCATGCGGAGCCTCGACCTCGGGTGCCTCATCGACTCTTGTCGAGCGCTCCTCGGGCGTCGCCTCCTGAACGGTTGGCGGCAATGCGGCGCCATCACCACAAAATGGAAGGGTCTTCTCCACTACAACGGCCTCCGTCGCCTCCGCCGCTGCTCCTACGTCATCCGCCACTGCAACTGGAACATGTGCGGAAGTGGCCCCCGTGGCCTCTGGTGCATTAGCAATGGTGGCTTCTGGAACTGCAGGGTCAGCAGGACGAATCCCGCCGTTGGGGGCGGAGAAAGAACGACCGCGCAGTAACCCATTGTTACGAAAGTCTCGCTGCTGCTCCTCTTGAGACTCATGCCAATCGGAGAGTCTAGTGACTCCGTCCTGGTGCTCCATGTTGACTACCGAAGGATTGGCCCCGTCGTTTCGCCACAATGCCCATTGCCTATGCCCAGCTCGCGTGGGCAGCCTCTAGTACTTAGTCTTAAAGCTGAAATCCTCGTCACGTTGGCCCGTATCCCTTCGCTTTCCTCAAACTGAAGACTGCGAGGCACGCCCGTCGTCACCCACCTGGCGTCGTGGTTTATGGAGTAACAAATTGCCTGAGTGGAGGAAAGGGATAAAATGCAGCTCAGCTTTGCCTACATAACAAAGTTTCAACTTCGCTTAACCGCGTGGGGGCACGCAACGAAAGACACGATGTTGTCCCTTCCTTCCCTCCTCCACTGGTCCGCTGCTGCTGCTGCTGCAACGGATGCGACAGCAGCAGCAGGGCCGTTTTCTTTGATCCATAAAGAGGAGCAGAAATGTGCCCCAAGACATAAAATTACTTTGCACTTACAATTTCATAGTCAGGGACGTGCTGGCAGCAACGGGCATGTTGCACCGCTCAAGCAAGGTGGCTGTCCCCCACAGCCCGTGGCGTCGGGCTACGTTCTTTACCTATGAGCGTGTGCAGTGTGAGTGCTGAGTAGCTTGGACCACACACCCCGCTGCAGTCCCTGAGAGAATAATTTCGCAGCAGTGATAAGGAAAAGAACTCCTTTAAATGTGTCACAACGACGGCAATGCAGCGAAGAATGCAAATAGCACTCAACAGCAAGCTATTGGCGCCTGTCAATGCTTGGCGACAGCACGATGCATCGTGCGTCAGAAGTTTTCATCTCTTCGGATCATACCTTTGTTTGCCACGAATCTAATTTGCTTGTGTGTGGTGCGGGCTACACGATGTAGTACGCGGAGTGCCGAGTCATGGGTTGTTGATTCCAACCCTGGAGCTCGATGTGACGGAAGCGGGTAGCTGCGTTCCTACTTTCATGCAGGCCGCCGAGTGGGGGCTAAGTAAATGCTTGACAACTATGTACTGGGTAAGTGCATGAAAAACAAGCAGTTTTGTCGTATGTAGAGAGTACCCTCGACCTTAACCACGGACTACTGGGAGCTGCAGGGGAGGCTATTTGCTTTAAAAAGTTGTCCCTTGAAAACAGTTGGCCTTCCCATCAAGGCCCCAGGCATTAGGACCGATGGGGCTCTGGCGCTTGATGCCGCGAGAGACGAGGCGGCCAGCTGGTGGTTGCAACCCGTCTTGCTGCAAGTTGAAAGGGAGCCCCACAAACAAGCAGGCCTTCTCGGCTATATGGACAGTCTGTACCACCGCTGAGAACCTATACTAGCTTATCACTCGTCTACTAGGGCTTGGTGGCGGTTCATGTACCAACTTTAGACAGACTCGCCAACATCGGACAGGCTATTGTCCAGTAATGCCTGCATGGGGGGCTGTCTTGCAACGGCAACTGTGGCGTGCTGCAACCCCTGCGAGGGGAACTTTCCAACCCAGCCCCAGTTTTCCTTGTCACTATGCTCAGGACGCTTTGATCCATGGGGAGTGGGCCAGCTTCTTGGGGCCATCAGTTATCAAGTATACGGTTTGCAGCTTCCCCTGGACTTAGCGTAAGTCCGAGATTCGCCTTAAGCACACACTGTATAGCATTAATAGCATCAAATTTCTAGGAAACACATTCTGGAGACGCTTCTAGTTAAATGGAGTGGTTCATGCCTCCATCCAAAGGGTAGGGAACACAAACGGAATAATTGACTCGCTGTTGGATAAGCTGCACCCTAATATCATGAGCAGCTGTGGCGAACAAAGACCTTCACCCAGTTGCAGCTAAATTCACAAACCAGTCATAACTATCTAGAGCAAGCGGCAATCAACTGTAAACCTCCCCGCGGCTTTGTGCATAGAGCTCCACGGACAGATTGCAGTTCACGTAAAGTAGAACGTAATGCAACAACCTCTTCTGTAGTACGAACCTTTGCGTGGGGAATCCTACTCCACGCTTTCGTCGTAGGATTGCAAGAAATGCTCAGACGCAAGCAAACCGACAGTCTATTATCACGCACAACACACAACACAAATGAGTGCATTAGCTGCCGACAGCACGAAAAGTAAAGACCATCCCCTTCGATGAACCAGCTGCAGCTAGCAGCTGCACTCCTTTTTACAGGGAGAACCAATAAAACAACGACAAAAGCATCCTCCCGTGCTTCTCCAAACTATACAGTTCCTCAGCAGGTGTTCAACTCTTTAACAAAAGAAGATCCCCCCCCCC